CCTTTTTTCCTCTTTTCCTCCTTCCTTCCTTCTCCTCTCCCTCCCTTTCTTCCTTTTCCCTCCCTCCCTTTTTTCCTCTTTTCCTCCTTCCTTCCTTCTTCTCCTCCCTTCCTTTCTTCTCCTCTCCCTCCCTCCCTTTCTTCCTTTTCCCTCCCTCCTTTTTCCGCCTTCGTTTTTTTCTTCCTTCTTTCCTTCCTTCTCCTCTTTTCCTTCCTTCCTTTCTTCTCCTCTCCCTTCTTCCTTTTCCCTCCCTCCTTTTTTCCTCCTTCCTTTTCTTTCTCCTTCAGTCCTTCCTTCCTTCCTTCTCCTCTCCCTCCCTTTCTTCCTTTTCCCTCCCTTCCTTTTTTCCTCTTTCCTTCCTTCCTTCCTTCCTTCCTTCCTTCCTTCCTTCCTTCCTCTTGGCTGTATGTTATATGCAAATTGAGAATCCGGGAAAGTGTAATGGTTGATCTTCAACTTTCCACCCTGGATATGCTTTCATTTCTTCCAATTTTCATTGAAAAGTTGCTCACCTCCAAACACCTTGACCTGGTTAACATCCCAGAACAATGGGGAAAGTCCAAGCTTTTGGAATTTTTAATTTCTTGCAACAGTCCCAATTTCCCACTAATGGTCACAACTGTCTAGGCTCCTGGAGCATCATCTATCTACCACGTGGACCTGGCGAGTCAGACCTCAAAATCAGCCCCTTCCAAATATGGCTTTATCTTCTCTTTTCTTCTCAAGGGAAAAAAGGACATCCTTTTAGAGCTTTAGCACTGATGATCTTACCTAGCTGGGTCATGAAACGTCTGCAAGAAAACCACCAGCCAGGGACCTCACCCCTTCTCCTCCTCCTTTTAGTACAGGGGTCTTCAAACTTGGCCCTTTGATGACTGGTGGACTTCAACTCCCAGAATTCCTCAGCCAGGCACGCTAGCTGAGGAATTCTGGGAGTTGAAGTCCTCAAGTCATGAAGGCGCCATAGTTCCCCCATGCTGGCTGAGGAATTCTGGGAGTTGAAGTCCTCGAGTCATGAAGGGGCCATAGTTCCCCCACACTGGCTGAGGAATTCTGGGAGTTGAAGTCCAAGAGTCATGAGGGGGCCATAGTTCCCGCATGCTGGCTGAGGAATTCTGGGAGTTGAAGTCCACAAGTCATGAAGGGNTCTGCGAGTCATGAAGGGGCCATAGATCCCCCACGCTGGCTGAGGAATTCTGGGAGTTGAAGTCCACAAGTCATAAAAGGGCCAAGTTTGAAGACCCCTGTTCTAATACATAGTTTTTAAGAAGAGATGGGACAACCATTTGTCTCCAATGATATAGTGTTTCCTGCTTGAGCAGGGGGCTGGATTGGAAGACCTCCAAGGTCCCTTCCAAACTCTGTTATTCTGACAGTCATGAAACATCAAGAGAGCAGCAAGGATCATGAAGGGCATCTTACCTGCTCAACCAACGGGGGAGAAGTCTCTCTCAATAGCAAGATTGGAAAGCTGGAATGACCTTCACGCTTTCAAGCTTTGTCCTTACAAAGCTCAGCTTGACCAGCAGTTAAAACGAGCAAGGCTTGAAGACCCCTTACTCCAGAAATAATCTCCCATCCAAAGAGACCACTGGTCTCTCCTGGTTCAAACCCAGGATTCTGGAGTCCACAAGGCCACATAGATGGGCCAGGTTCTACCATCCAGGACAGTTGGTGATGTCACAGTGACCCCACCTGTTGACTCAACAAAAGGCCGAGCAACTGAAATGTAAAGAAGGGTCTTTTTATCCCTTATGGTGGGCGTGTGACGAAGCAAAGAAATAGTGGATAGGAGCCAGCTGTGTGTTGCAGCTGCCGAAAGAGCCAACACAGTGCTGGGCTGCATTAACGGAGGGATAGAATCAAGATCAGGTGAAGTGTTAATACCACTTTACAAGGCCTTGGAAAGGCCACACTTGGAATACGGCATCCAGTTTTGGTCACCACGATGTAAAAAAGATGTTGAGACTCTAGAAAGAGTGCAGAGAAGAGCAACAAAGATGATTAGGGGACTGGAGGCTAAAACATACAAGGAACGGTTGCTGGAATTGGGAATGTCTCGTTTAATGAAGAGAAGGACGAGGGGGGACAGGATAGCAGTGTTCCAGTATCTCAGGGACTGCCCCAAAGAAGAGGGAGTCAAGCTATTCTCCAAAGCGCCTGAAGGCAGGACAGGAAGCAACGGATGGAAACTCATCAAGGAGCGAAGCAACCTAGAACTAAGGAGAAACTTCCTGACAGTGAGAACAATTAACCAGTGGAACCACCTGCCTCCAGAAGCGGTGAATGCTCCAACACTGGAAGTTTTTAAGAAGAGACTGGACAGCCATTTGTCTGCAATGGTTAAGGATCTCCTGCTTGAGCAGGAGGTTGGACTAGATGACCTCCAAGGTCGCTTCCAACTGTGTAATTTATATAAGGAACAGTTGCTGGAATTGGGTATGTCTAGTTTAATGAAGTGAAGGACGAGGGGGGACATGATAGCAGTCTTCCACTATCTCAGGGGCTGCCCCAAAGAAGAGGGAGTCAAGCTATTCTCCAAAGCGCTTGAAGGCAGGACAAGAAGCAACGGGTGGAAACTCATCCAGGAGAGAAGCAACTTAGAACTAAGGAGAAACCTCCTGACAGTTAGAACAATTAACCAGTGGAACCACCTGCCTCCAGAAGCGGTGAATGCTCCAACACTGGAGGTTTTTAAAAAGAGACTGGCGAAAAGGACGAGGGAGGACATGATAGCAGTCTTCCAATATCTCAGGGGCTGCCCCAAAGAAGAGGCAGTCAAGCTCTTCTCCAAAGCCCCTGAAGGCAGGACAAGAAGCAACGGATGGAAACTCAACAAGGAGAGAAGCAACCTAGAACAGTGGTGGCGAACCTATGGCACGGGTGCCAGAGGCGGCACTCGGAGCCTTCTCTGTGGGCACATGCACTGTCTCCCCAGCCCCGCCTCCTCCCACGGCCCCCCTCCTCCCCAGCAGCCCCCCCCGGAGGAGAGTCACCCCTGGGCGCAGCCCATGCGAAGCAGCCCAGCCAAGGACATGGTAGCCGGGCAACGGGGACAAGACTCTGCCCCTTGCGCCCCATCCTGCACAGATGATGCTGCGGGGCACAGGCGGAGGGCGTGACCGCCATGGCGCTGCTGGGCTGCCTGGGTGATCTGTGGCAGGCCGTGGAGGTGGTGGGTGGCCCAGTGGGCAGGGCGGAGCAGGAACGGGGATGGGGGTGTAGTTTTGGGGCACTCGGTCTCTAAAAGGTTCACCATCACTGGTATAGGTTTTCCTGCCTGAGCAGGGGGTTGGACTAGATCAGGGCTTTTCAACCTTTTTACCCATTGTACCACTTTTAGGATATGGCAACATCCGAGGACCACCAGTCGCCTAGCAAGGTGTCAAAAACTTGATGACCAAAAAAAAAAAAATTAAAAAAAAAGGGAAAAAAGTGATGAAGTACAGGTAGTCCTCGACTTACAACAGTTCGCTTAGTGACCATTCGAAGTTACAGTGGCACTGAAAAAAGTGTCCCCCAAGCCACAGCCGAGCAAGACACCTGCCTGCCCGCCCGGCCGCGCTCTTCCTCCTGTCCGAGGTTTTCATTGTTGTGAGCATTTCTGTTCAGGATTGGCAGTGGGGGTGGGGTGGGGGGTGTTTGGTTTTTATCCCCCCCCCCGTCTGCTGGGGGGTTGCAGCAGGTTTTGGTCCCTTCACATGACCCTGGGACACTGTGACCGTCATAAATATGAATCCGTGGCCAAGCCTCTGAATGTAAATCACAAGACCCTGGAGAGGCTGCAACATTCCAGCTGATCGGCGCTTCTTCTGGGCTCAGCGGAAGCGCCAGGATCAGCGCTGAGCTCCAGCTGGATCCTGGCGCTGATCCTGGGGCTTCCGCTGAGCCCTGACAGCCCTGCAGCTCCAGCCGTCTCTCGCTCAGGCTTGTGCGGTGCTGCCACCGGTTCAGCCCATTCCCCTCCCCTGCTACTACTTCTCTAGGATGCTCACGTACCACCTGCCAGGTGCCAATGTACCACAGGTGGTACCCCTACCACTAGTTGAAAAGCCCTGATCTAGACAGCTTCCCTTCCTCCGTCTCCCAAGGCCTTTCCTACGTACCGTTAAATCATGTCATGTCACTGGTTCTCCCCCACACCCCTTTAGGGGTTTGCTAGCCCCCCCTTCGGCCCTCTTCCCAAGGATTCAACGTCCCCCCGTCCCTTCCCCGGAGAGGAACGTGCAAGTGGAAAGGCCATCCTTTTTTTCTCCAAAATAGAACAGAGTATTTTATATATTAACGCGAACACTTCTCTTTACAAAAGGAATCCAGCAGCGAGAATTAAGAGCCGAAGCAGGGAGAACGCAAGCAACTCAGCCTGCCTCCGCCGAGAGAGGGAAGGCGGGGGTACAGTCACTGGATGAGAGGGAGGCGGGAGGCGGTGGGACCCTGCCGGCTGTTCAGGGCAGTCCTAGCTGCAGGGCGCCTTCTTCTCCGGGATCCATCATCCACTGCCTCAAAAGCGACGCTTGGTCCAATAAGGTTGGAAGACGGTCAACGATTCTGGGCATTTCTCTCCCCCCCCCCAAAGGGTCCATTGCTTGGGAAGACGAATACGATTCACCGTCTGGAAGGATGAAAAGCAAGCAAAGAAAATAAAGTGAATTTTTTTTTCTTTCTTTCTCTCCCTTTCTCCTTCCTCCCTCCCCTTCCTTTCATTCCCTTCTTCCTTCCTTCCTTCCTCATTCCTTTCTCCTTCCTTCCCTCCATCCTTCCTCCCTCCCTTCCATCCTACCTTCATCCCTCCCTTTCATTTCTTTCTCCTTCCTCCCTTCCATCCTTTTCTCCCTCCTTCCTTGCTTCCTCATTCCCTTCTTCCTTCCCTCTATCCTCCCTTTCTTCCTTCCATCCTACCTTCATCCCTCCGTTCCTTTCATTCTCTTCTGCTTCCTTACTTCCATCCTCCCTCCTTCCATCCTCCTTTTCTCCTTGCTTCCTCATCCTTTCTTCCTTCCTTCCCTCCATCCTCCCTTTCTTCCTTCCATCCTCCATTCATCCCTCCCTTCCTTTCACTCCTTCTCCTTCATTCCATCCTACCTTCATCCCTCTTCCTTTCATTCCTTTCTCCTTCCTCCCTTCCATCCTTTTCTCCCTCCTTCCTTGCTTCCTCATTCCCTTCTTCCTTCCTTCCTTCCTCCCTCCTTTCCATCCTACCTTCATCCCTCCGTTCCTTTCATTCCCTTCTCCTTCCTTTCATCCTCCCTCCCTCCCTTCCATCCTCTTCTCCATTTCTTGCTTCCTCATTCTTTCTTCCTTTCTTCCATCCTACCTTCATCCTTCCCTTCTTTTCATTCCCTTCTGCTTCCATCCTCCCTCCATCCCTCCCCTCCCCCCCTCCCTCCCAGGAGCAAGCAGTGAGGAATATATCCACAGGAGAGAAAAAAAAATCAGTGGAAAAGAAGAACTGAGAAGAGAACCGCTCTTCTTATCTTGGAGGCATTCACCCAGCACATTCTACTGGCTTGTCAAGTTTGTCTCTTTTCCGAGTTCGCGCATTGCACGGATCTTCAAGCCAGCTAGCCAAGCCAGATTCATCCAAAATACTGAATGAAGCCACTAAAGTACAGGTACTCCGCGGCTTACGGCCACAGCCGAGCCCCAAACTTTCCGTTGCTAAGTGAGACAGTTGCGAAGTGAGTTTTGCCTCCTTTTACGACCTTACTTGCTATAGACATTAAGTGAATCGCTGCCGTTGTTAAGCAGGTAACACTGTTTCCCCGTTGGCTTAGCTTGTCTGAAGGTCGCAAAAAAGGGGGTCACATGAGCCCCGGGGGGACACTGTGACCGTCATACTGTAAATATGAAGCAGTGGCCAAGCATCTGAATTTTGATTCCGTGATCATGGGGAGGCTACAACAGTCATTAAGCGTGAACAATGGTCTTTAAGTCCCTTTTTCCCATGCTGTTGTAACTTCGGTCACTAAACAGACCGTCGTTAAGTCGAGGACTACCTGTACCCGGATGGGAGACCGCCTGTTTTCAAACTTGGCCCCTTCATGACTTGCAGACTTCAACTCCCAGAATTCCTCAGCCAGCGTGCCTGGCTGAGGAATTCTGGGAAATGAAGTCCACAAGTCATAAAAGAGCCAAGTTTGAAGACCCCTGTCTTAAATCTAACAAACAAAATGGAAGCTGGCTGAGGAATTCTGGGAGTTGAAGTCCACAAGTCATGAAGGGGCCCTAATTCCCCCATGCTGGCTCAGGGATTCTGGGAGTTGAAGTCCACGAGTCATGAAGGGGCCCAGTTTGAAGACCCCTGCTGTAGGCTCACATCCTGGCAAGGAGAAAAAGCTTCCCTTCCGGAAGAGATCGTGGCCAGCCGTGCCACATGGTTCCCCTTACTTGAGTTGCCCGGCGGTGTAGGGGTCCAGCAGGTGAGAACTGGCCTGCTCCAAGTTCCAGTTGAACATCTCCAGAACTTTGTGACAATCCAGCCGCGTCTTCAGTCCCAGGCAGAAGAGCTGCTCAACCTGCAGACGAGGGAGGGGCAGGCGGGAGAGAGCATCGCATTACAAAAACTACAGCCAAGGTGGCTACCGCACATTACAAAAAAAGATGTTGGGACTTTGGAAGAAGTGGGGAGGAGAGCAACTCAGAGGGTTAAAGGCCTGGAGACAAAAACATTGTAAGGATTTGGGTACGGCCAAGAGAAAAGGAGGACCAGGGGTGACATGAAAACAGCCCACAGTTCTCCTCCTCCTCCTCCTTCTGACAGTGATGACAATCAACCAGTGGAACAGCTTGCCACCAGAAATCGTGGGCGCTCCATCACTGGAGATTTTTAAGAAGAGACTGGACGGCCACTTGTCTGAGATGGTGTAGGTTCTCCTGCTTGAGCAGGGGGCTGGACTAGAAGACCTCCAAGGTCCTATTCTATTCTATTCTATTCTGTTATTTTCTATTCTATTCTATTATTTTCTATTCTATTCTATTGTTATTTTCTATTCTATTCCATTCCATTCTATTGTTGTTTTCTGTTCTGTTCCTTTTCTCTATTCTATTCTAATTATTATTCTATTCTATTCCTTTTCTCTATTCTATTCTAATTATTATTCTATTCTATTCCTTTTCTCTATTCTATTCTAATTATTATTCTATTCTATTGTTTTCTATTCTATTCTATTCTATTCTGTTATTTTCTATTCTATTCTATTGTTCTGTTTTCTGTTCTGTTCCTTTTTATTCTATTCTAATTATTATTCTATTTTATTCTATTCTGTTCTGTTCTATTTTCTATTCTATTCTAATTATTATTCTATTCTATTCTATTCTATTCTATTCTATTCTATTCTATTCCAATCTATTCCTTTTCTCTATTCTATTCTAATTATTATTCTATTCTATTCTATTCTATTCTATTCTATTCTATTCTATTCTACTCTACTCTACTCCACTCCACTCCACTCCACTCCACTCCACTCCACTCCACTCCACTCCACTCCACTCCTCCACTCCATTCCCTTCCCTTCCCTTCCCTTCCCTTCCCTACCCTACCCTACCCTAGTCTACTCTATTCTTCTAGCACTGAAAATGCTACCTAGTTTGGTGATGAAACGTCTGCAGGAAAACCAAGGTCAGACAGCACCAAGGACCCCACAGGATCAGGAAGGCTGGTCTGTAACTTCATGATCAAAAGGAATCTTCCTCATGGGTTGCTTTCAGTTTCCATTTGATTTATTCTGGGCTAGGGCTACACACACACACACATACACACTCAAAAAATCCCCCTCCTGTTCCTTGCGCCAGGAGGAGGAGAAATGCTCCATGCAGATGTTTCTACCTTCAGGTACTGGACAGCCTTCTGCACGTTCCAGCTGTGATTCTGCAGGGCGGCTTGACACTCCTCGGTGGTGACCCCGTGCACCGTCTCCTGGACCTGCGAAGGGGATCAAGATGGTGCAGCTGGGCAACATCTGTGCAGCAACAGCACGCAGACTTATACACCGCTTCATGGTGCTTTACAGCCCTCTCTAAGCAGTTTAGAGTCAGCGTATTACTCCCCCCCCCCAACAATCTGGGTCCTCGTTTTATGGATCTGGGAAGGATGGAAGGCTGAGGCAACCTTCAGCCGGTCAGGATTGAACCCCTGGCAATGGGCAGAGTTTGCTTGCAATACTGCATTTTTAACCACTCCGCTGCTACAGGAGGGAGGGAGGAAGGAACGGAAGGAGGAAAGAAAAAAGGAAGGGAGGAAGGGAAGGAGGGAGGGAGAGAGAGAGAAGGGAGAAAGGGACGGAAGGAGGGAGGGAGGGAGGGAAGGAGGAAGAAAGGAGGGAGGGAGGAAGGAACAGAGGAAGGGAGGGAGGAAGGGACGGAAGGAGGAAAGAAAAAAGGAAGGAATGGAGGGAGGGAGGAGGAAGGAAGGAGGAAGGAAGGAAGAAAGGAGGGAAGGAGGAAGGAACAGAGGAAGGGAGGGAGGGAGAAGGGACGCATGGAAGGAAGAGAAGGAGGAACAGAGGAAAAGAGGGAAGGAGGAAGGAACAGAGGAAGGAAGGGAGGGAGGGAAGGAGGAAGGAACAGAGGAAGGGAGGGAGGGAGAAGGAAGGAGGGAGGAAGGAAGGAATGGAGGGAGAAGGGACACATGGAAGGACGGAGGAAGGAAGGAGGAACAGAGGAAAGGAGGGAAGGAGAAAGGAACAGAGGAAGGGAGGGAGAAGGAAGGGACGGAAGGACGGAGGGAGGAAGGAAGGAGGGAGGAACGGAGGGAGGAGAAAAGGAGGAAGGGGAGGAGGGAAGGGAAGGGAGCATAAGACAATTAAGGCAAAGGTGCAGCCTTCAAACCCTAATGGAGATCAAATCCATCCTGATGAGCTAGTTTACTGTAGGCCCAGTTAAGTGTTGTGGGAACCTACAACCGCCATGGTGGATCGGTGGGCTTCACGCCGATTTGTGACCTGGGCAAGGACTCTCTGGTGACTTCTCTGGAGGGGAGGCCACCAGGGACTCCGAGTGACGGGAAGTCAGGGGTCGCTCCAATCGAGGAGTCTATTTGTAACTCAAGAGTTGAAATGAAACCCCCTCTCCCTTCTAGCCCTGATGACGTTCCGTAGTTGGGTCATGAAATGTCTGCGAGAAAAACCACCCAGCTCAGGGAGCCCCCCAGGACCCCCACACCCCGGTCCACCTGCTCCTCCAGCTCCCGCGAGGCGGCCCCGCCCGAGAGGACCACTCACCTGCCGTATCTTCTCCGAACCCCGAGGGCCTTCCGAACCCTCGTAGACGATCTTCTGGAGGCCACAGGTGGCCTTGACGCTGCTGTTGCTATTGTTGGCCGAGAAGTTGGCTTTGTAGTCCGCCGGGGCCGGCGACTGCTGCTGCTGCTGGATCATGGGCCGCACCGTGGCCGTGCTGACCACTCGGCTCGGCCCGCCGCCGCCTCCTCCCTCCGGGCTCTTGGCCTCCTTGAAGAACTTCTCGTATTTGTCCAGGTAAGGCGGGCGCTCCGGGAGGAGATAGTAGTGGGTGTTGCTGACTTTCCGCCCGTCCTTGACGATGGGCAAGATGCAGGGGCCCTTGGCGCACTCCTTCCCCTGGGCCTGGATGACTTTGGGGGTGGCGTACTTGGGGTCCAAGGCGAAGCTCTGGGTGGTGGGCATGGGCGGCTTCCCGGGCGAGGTGGACAGGAAGCCCCCCAGAGAAAGCGGGGAGCAGAGGTTGGCTCGCGGCTGGGGAGACCCGCCCTGCAGGGACCTGGGGCTGGGAGTTCTGGATCCCGGTTGGGACAAGCGATCCCGGGGTGGGATCTGGGGAGGACGGTCTTCCTCCCCTCCGGAGGCCGGCGACAGGTCTCCGGACCAACGGCCGGGCTCGTTCCGCCGGAACGGGAGGGGCAGGATGGGCACCCGAGGAGGGACCCGTGGCTTGTCCTCTCCCGGACTCGGGACGGCGGCCCCGGAAGGTCCACCCCGGGGCACCTTGAGGTGCTTCATGCACTCCTGCTGCAGTTCCTGGAAGATCTCCGTGGTCTGGGCCGGGCTGGGCTGCTTGCTCTCCTTGGCGGGCAAGAAGAGGTTGTCCTCCAAGGGGAGAGCGGGGCGGGGGTCTCCCTCGGGGGCGGCCAAGCCGCCGTTGA